AAACCTTTATTGTAATAGGCTTTGGCATAATTAGGATCTATTTGTATTGCCTAGTCATAGCAATTAATTGCATCATTGTATTTTTATAAATAATGTAATGAAATGCCTAATAAAATCAAATTATATATAAACCTTTATTGTTATAGGCAATGACATAATTAGGATCTATTTGTATTGCCTAGTCATAGCAATTAATTGCATCATTGTATTTTTATAAATAATGTAATGAATCGCCTATTAAAATCAAATTATATATAAACCTTTATTGTTATAGGCAAGGGCATAATTAGGATCTATTTGTATTGCCTTGTCATAGCAAATAATTGCTTCATTGTATTTTTATAAATTATCTAATGAAATGCCTATAAAATAAAATCTTTATAATAACATATTACCTTTTAAGTTTAAAGCATGGAGATTTTACGGTTCTTCATTCAATATTAAATCACATAATTAAATAGCTGACTCATATTACTTTTAATCATTTAATGCATAACCTTGAAAAATGAAAATATTAGAATATACTTTTTGCTATTAAGATAAATTTATTTTTGGCATTCTTATTTAATTCTAATTCTGAATAATTCAATAAATCTATATAGAAGTTATTATTTATTTTTTTAGCTTAATCTTATAAGTTAACTGCTTTAGAACATTGATTCATTTAAAATAATGAAATAGCTTTAAAATATATTTATAATAAAGTACATTAAAAGAATGTAGCAAATGATTATTGTTTCTGTAATTACTTTAAACTTTCTTATAAAAGTTCCTATGCTTATTGCCATTTCTATTCATTTAATAATTCTATTCCTAATTGATTATTTATTGGATGAAATACCTTATTGAAGTTTAATATCAAAATCTTGTTTTACATCTAAATTTTTGGATTATAATTATTATTCTTGATCTTAATTAAATGCATTTATCATTCTTTTAATGTTAATTAATTAAGTTCCTATAAATATTAAATTCTATAAAAGTACCAATTTAATTCTACTTAGTGATCTCATTTTAAGAATTCAAATATTGATACCATTCCTTAATCTACTATAAATTTTCTTTAATTTATTGATATTCTTATTATGATAAATATTCAGATATCTTAATTAATTATTTTTTCATTTTTTCAATTTCTTTTTAATATTCTTCAAATTTAGTTTTAACTTAAGCAAAGGATTTATTCAATTAATCTGCTAAATTATTAAGATTTTCTTTTGATTTGTTAATAAGATTAAAAATTTAACCAAATCCTTTTAGATCTTTTTTACAATTAGTGTGTTTGATTGGATCAGCAGCACATTAAAGACAAAATTAAGATTTTGAATCTTTGCATCTAAAATTTAAACAATGTCCTTAGATATCATCATTTTCATGAGAAATATCTTAACACGTGTACTATTTCATTTAATAAATAATTTATTTAATAATCAAATTAAGATAATACATTTAACTATTAAATATTTTATAAAATAGCAATAGTTATTTAAATCTCATAGATAATCAAAGAAGTCAAATTACTTTAAGTAGATATAAACAATAGAAAAATATCAATTAACTTATAACATTTTATTGATTGTTTGATCAAATTTGAATTATATAAGATGAGTTTAAAAAATTTTATATGGATCCATTAATAATAATATCAATTACAACAAAATTAAAATCTAATGCATTTTAATAGTGAACATACTATTTTACATTTTTAATACACAACTTATATAAATAAATTTAAATATTTCTCTACTTTTACTTTTTAATTAATATATTATAA